AGGCGAGTGACCAGAGGGAAGGGAGTGGGCAGAGAGGGAGGGGAGAGTGCGCGGTGATGATCTCTTGAGACGCCGCGCTGTCTGTCGTTCTCTTACCTAACCCCTTCTCATCGTACCTACCCCAACCCCCTAGTTTTTTGTGCACTCTTAGTTCTGTGTACACGTATTTCTCAGTATTAGTGGAGCAGCTGATTCTTGCCTCTGGTTCTTGCGTATAATTTTTCAACGGGGCCCTTGCCAAGACGGTTCCTGAAAGTTTACTAAGAATGACAGGGTTTTTATTCCTTTTCTTGTTTATTTAATATGAAATAATACATCATTGGAAGACTCGGTATCAGATATGTTAGATCTCCATTATTTATGCGGTATATGAAGATTTTTCGCTGTTATAATAATCTGAGCTCGATATTATTATTGATATTAAGATTACACCTTCAAGTCTTGATAAAAGGGAGGGTGAGAAAAAAATATATTTTTTGGGTCGATGATGTTATTAATTGTACTAGATATTTCCCCAATGCTGCAAATTCCTTTCCATCTACAAATTACATGTCTACCGATGATATTATATTGAATTTGTTCTACCGCGAAACTCGTGTAAACATAAAAAAGCTCTAGGCTGTTGACATTATTTGTCTATGATACCTCGACAGGCTCGACTGTATAAACAACGCGTCTGGTTATATCAGAAAAAAGACATTATGGATGTGCTGTTATTAGATAAGAGCTCTTCAGAGTTATCTGTGCGTCGAGTGCAATTAGAGAATAATTACCGTTAATAATTACCTAATTCCCATTCCCACATGTAATCACAACCATTATGAGTATTAAGTAAAGGTCATCGACCCACTTTCGTTCACGGTTGCTACGCCAGCTCGTATGTAGTAGCGGCGTGAGCAGTGTCTTTGTGGCACGCTATCGTTCACGGCTGTCACAGATAAGATATGGTCGGTGCTGCCTGTGCTCCATGTGTCATTTGTAGCTACACACATTCACTACAAATTAAAATGTCGCTTCTCTTTAAAGTTTTGAACTGTCGAACTTTTCGCAGATAATTATTTATAGCTTTTCTGTACAGGACTGGTCAGTTCAATTCCTACATTCAACCTGGATGATCTAACTCGTCTCTTTCTTACTACATCCGTTACTATGCCTACTGACGCGTGTAATAGCAAATCAAAAGTCATTTTGTATGAGTGTCTTCTTTTCAGTTCTATTTCGTGTCTCTGAAACACTGTAAAGCTGCTTAATTTCTTCTTCCCAACTTCAGCATTTGAAACGTTCCACCACTTGTGGGTGATGAGCGATAGTTGACATAGATGTTGTGACTTACTGACTTGTTAGTGATGACTATTTTTTATCCTTCAGTACAAGTTACTGGTATTGCATACATACATAAGTTACTCCGCTTATCCATTACTTGTTGCATTTTTCTCATATCAGCCTCTTTTGATATGAAATCTCTTGCATGACCTTTGCTATTTTTAAAATTTGGCAAGTCACTACGTGCAATGATGACGGAATCAATGAATGAGTTCTGTATACATCCTTGATTCTTATTCTCTGAGCTTACTTGCACCTTATAAATGCAGGACTAGTGATTGTTGGATGCTATTTCTTTCCTTTCGTGCTCCCAGGCACGCATGTAGCTCACGTGCGAACTGCATGAACGCCCTGTGACATTTGCGTGGAGAAACCGGCTTTGCAGCTCAGTTGTGGCTCTGGGCCCATACTTTCAAAAAAAGTTAAGTGATCGTAAGTTCATCAGCCAATCATTGACGGCCTTTCAAGCAAAATCCACCAATCATAGACAAGAAAATAGAGCGTAAGTACTTACGTTCACTTAGCGAGTTTTGAAAGTATGGCTCCTGGCATCTACTTGGATCAGTTCGATATTTCTCTTAGGTCGCTCAGCTTTTTGTTGCGATGAGGCGAATTAACTAAAAAATCTATTTGGATCGATCGTTTGGGACGTTCTGCTTGTCCGACACTCAAAACAATTATCGGTAGTAAATGTTTTGTCTTGTTATCGAAGGTTCAATTGCTAGTCCTATTCATTTATTCCGGTTGGCCGACGGGGTGAAACTTCGCTGTTCAACGTATAGGTTGCGCGATTCGTAATGTTTACATTTGCGAAAGAAAAGAGAAAAAAAAGAGGACAGCAGTGAATGCCTGTTCGATCAAAAAGTTCACGTTTCCATGATTGTGGTTCGGGTTTTATAAACAAGGTATCTTCAAGCCTAATCGTACAAATATTTTATCCGATGGTACGTCTGTTTAGCCTTGACTTGCATTTTCTGTCCTTGAACTAAAGATTGAGCGACTTTTTTTAATGTTAAGGACCACAACAAGGCTTTCAGTGAAATGTGACAGGAGATTGTCAGGCAGCCTCTCGTGCCTACTGCAATGACCTGATTTTTGGTGAGTACGTCATTACGCTTATACATTGAGTCATATGGTTCTCCTCACTGCCTAAATTCCTAGCTCATATGCCCTCGCAGTAATTATGCTACATAGCACATGCCAATTTTCACTGGGATGTTTGCGTGACTGAGCTATGCCTCTGTATAGCCGCTTTTCCTTAATGTGAATATTCAATTCTTACACACACAGTGCATGACACAGTACTCGGCTGACTTCCTATGGCGTCCTTGGGGTTTCCTTGATATCATTGATCCTGTGTGAAGATAAAAAAACCATCGCCCAGCTGATCTTATGTTCTCGTTGGTTCACAATGAGAACCTTGTTTGTCCATGAAAACAAATGTCGATTTGGATCGATCGTTTGGTATGTATATTATAGTGATGGTATGTATAGAGTGATTCACGGAAACTTTTTGTTTTGTATTTCGCGCCAAGCAGCCAGATGTAGGAAAAGTGCGGGGAGTATTTCATATGAAAGGCACAAGGTCATGAAGTTTCGTGTCCCGCTTAGTCAATTAATTGCCACTATACATTGGACCAGTGAGCAGCGTGCGTTTGCTGTTGAGGTGTACTTTTCTAATGACTATTTCATTACTGTAACGATTTTAAACGAGCATTCCGTACTCGGTTCCGTATTCGTCCTTCAGGTCGGGTTCCTGATCGGAAATCGATTGTTAGGTGGGTGAACACATTTAGGGCAAGTGGAAGTGTGAATGCAAGAGTCAATTGTTTATATTTACTGTCCAAGGACCCTAACTCATTGGAACAACATACGTCAATTAAGCTATCGCTAACATATCCGTCAATATGCTTCAGCGAGTTGAACGGAGCTCCAAAAATCGAATGCAAAAACTGAATGCATTGACAATCGGGGCCGTCATTTGTCCGATGTCTCTTTAAAACTAAGTGATAAAAATTTCAGTTGATGTCCTTTTCTATAAAATTTAGATTGTTATGTAAAGTTTCCGTTAATCGCCCTGTATATACTGCATTATTATCACCGGCACAGCTCATACGAACATCACAGTCAAAGTTCTGTTTTTAATGAAGAGAATATCAAAAAAAGTCCGCAACGATAGTTTGGGTGTAAAAACCGCTAGATTTATGGTGTCTTGTCAGAGTAAGACGAAGGATAGCGAACTTGGAAATAATGTTATACATATTATCATGCTTATTCGTTTATTGGGTGATGTTGTTCCAATACCCCAGCTTATTTACTTACAGTCGGATTGCTTCCACTTCCATAATCGATTTCCAGTCGTCGTAGTAAGACGAGAAGTCGAATTCTATGCATGCCTCGATAATGCAAACCAGTCATCATGGTGCGGTATTCTCCGTGTGACGCGAAACCTGAAGTGAGTACGTTTGTGCGTGTGTGTGTTGCAAGAGAGGCGATGGATGGGAGGGGCCAGTACAGCATAAAAGCCTTCTATCTGGCCCTGTGTAGACAGTTCTGAGTTGACCATACTCGTGAGAGGTGCACTTGTGGCCATTACTGAAAGCTTTTAGTTGCTACCCCGCGTCTGAAATCTACGGGTTTTGATCGCCGAGATTTGAAAATACTTGCGGGTATTGAAAAGTGTTTATATTTCGAAGCTGTTATTTTGTGAAAATACTTTATGTTGAAACACAACATGCATATGGAGACGCTTGATCACGGTTTCTCGCCTGCAACTCACTCCGATGGCGTTTTGGGCTTGTCCTATCCTCATTCTCCGGAGCCACAGTTGAACCACGCAACACAATTCAACGACTGTTTACAGCCTCAGTATTCTCCGATCCCTTACGATGAGGGTTACTCGTATGAAAACGAGGATTCTTATGAACCTTGCTCGCCTTCAGTAATGACTTCACCCTTGGACACTCCATTGCATTCCTACTCTCGCACTGCCAGCACTTCATCGTACTCGTCGGATGGTTCTTCCATAAGCAATTTTTCATCGTCACAATCATCGGGATTTTCTGAAATGCCGAGCATCTCCAGCCTGTCCATATCATCTGAATGTCCATCATCACAGTCATTGTTTCCTGAACCATCGGCATCTTATAATCCTTTCTCCAGTGCCAAGAGAACAAAACGTATCTCAAGCAATCCCTCAAGCCTTATTAAATCTAAATCTTCACGGGATAAAAGTGTACCAAGAAGAAGCTCTGCTCCAGCAAAGGGAATTTCCACTGAATCATCTGATGGATCTAGGAAAGATTCATTCATATACGACGTCCAGCTTGATAGTGACAACGTGCTCCTTTTTGTACCTGATTTGGTGAGTTTTTATGAAACGCGACGTAAACAAAATTAAATTCTTCGATATCGTTGTATAGACTTAATTTGTTGCAAAATTCAAGCTAGAAGACAATTCGCAATGCACTTCTACTCGGTTATTTTTGTACGGCGTTGGTTGCTCCTATTGGTATTTTTTCACGGTGCCCTGTTGGCATCAGACCAGTTAAGCACAGCCGCCCGCACCTAGTATCGTTCTACGCAGATGTACTGAGACAAGAACGATTAAAAATTCAATTAAAACTCGTCTTCGTAACTTTATATACTTAATGACATTTATTTTTTTTCTCTTTCAGGATCTGGTAAAGTCTCATCTGATGTTCGCCGTTCGGGAAGAAGTTGATGTTCTGAAGGAGCGCATTGTCGAGCTTATGGAGCGGATAAATCACCTGGAATACGAGAATAACATCCTCAAGAAATACGCATCGCCTGAAGCCCTCCAGCAACTGCAACACCAGTCCCCGAATCCTTAAATGTCGAACCCGACTCCATGAACTCTGAGATGAGTTGAATGACTGGTAGCTATTCATATTATAAGATACCCTGCAACTTTGGCTTTCATTTGCAGAAATGGATTATCTTGGGATAATTCGCTCTTTACTGAAAGCTGCAAGTTTCTATGCGCCTTCTGGAAATGAGTAGAACTTTCCACTTATTCATATTTTAGCTCCTAAAGCTTCCAAAATATGCCCTTTCTAAGTTATTATTATGGGATGAATCTACGATATTGTGTATGAATTTATGTGTGAATGATAATCCCGTCGAGGGGGTTTTCAGTTTTAGCCGAACGCATTCAGTGTGAGTATGTTCAAGTTGTAATGAGAACCCGTCACCCCAAATCTGGAAACAGATCTGACGTGGAGGACGATAGTTTCAGATTAATACCTTACTACAGGTGCTTAGTTCATTTTGTGTTTGTTATCGCATACCACTCTTGTTTTTAGACCGATGTTACGAATGCAACTAGTCATTTGATTGCTTTTGGTCGCGCAAAGTTACATTCGATGGCATAGATCATGGGTTATGTGTGTGTTTAAACACAATAATGAAACTTGTATGAAATAACACTTGCAATCTTCAATGACCAGTTTTTTTTAACTCCAGGCTGCTCTGGTGATCTTTTCTGCTGTATAATTTTATGGTATTTATTTTTGAGTGCATGCTATAAGATATAGGCTCTATTTCTGATTTACCCTATTTAGTTTATATGCAAAACGTAGTTTTCTATCAATAATTCGTTGGTCACTGTTCATAATCACTTTCTCTTGGCTTCACTCGTTTCGAGTTTCGATGCATCACAGTGCCCGTGAACTCAAGTCGACCGCGTAAGTGAAGAAAAGGCCATTCAGTCCGTCAGTCAAATTTGACTGAAGAACAAATAAATATGCTTGCTATGTTGTCACTCTATTTGCCGCCTGCTTTGTTACGCCTTCATTACAATGTTCATGCAGTATATGTGCATCTGAGCGTAGGCATTATGTTGATTGCTGACGCGGTACAATTATTTTATGTGCCGTGGCTCCTGTGAATTTCAATTTTGTTTACTAAGGGGCTCGTCATTCATGCAAAGCTTTTGAGGTTTAGATTAAGGTTTTTAGAATGCCGTGCTGAATTAATTTAGGCTCCATGTTTTGTTGAAGCATGATCGTGATCAATAGGAATTTTCTTTTGTAAATATAATATCCTGCCATGTAACTGCGTGATATATAAAACTATTTCATTGATACTACGAATACAGTTGATTTTCTTCCATTCAGCATTGCTGTGAAGTTTTGCGATGTGTAAATGCTGAGTCTCACGCCTGAAGTGAAATTGTATGTCATGCAAGTAAATGATAAAGAGGAACCGTGCAAATGGAAGGTGTATACCTGGATGTATTCTGTATGAGAGAATAATCCGACGGGTATGGTGATGTTTATACTACCATTACGTTTGTATAAGTTGCATCTAATAAAAGCTCACTTATTTTGTACCCATGACTATTGTTCATCCTGGTATAATCTTTAGGTCTGATAAGGATTCTTAGCTTTTTATCGACAAGTAGCAAAATAATTATCTGCAAGTAGCGAATCAGTACGAAACCAGCAAGGTAATAGCAAGGAAATTCCAGTATTGAAATGCTTTTGTTAAAGGTTCTGAATCGAATATAAAAACGTACAGAAATCCATCAGTTAGACATTGATGTTCATGTATATACGAGAACTTCTAAACATGCTAAGCAAAATATTTCAAGCTTTATGTATCTTTAAAGTAACTATCCAAGTATGAAAACAGACAAATGCAACCATGAGCAATGTTAAACATCAAACTTAGTGAATACAACATGTTATTACGCATAAATTAGCAGTACAAATTATGAATGTATTGGCTCGCAATCCAGAAAGTGCTGCTTTTTCAGTCACCAACCTTATTTCAAGCAAAATTTGTTGTACATTCTAAAACTTTATGGAGGAAAATATATCCATAATGATAATGACAATGTTGCAGAACAGTTAATATGGAATGCGTCGCGTTCTCTGCTATATCCATGATCATGAAACAATTACAATATTAATAAATGGCCACATTAAATGAAGCTCGCGACCTTGGAACTCCGGCTCAGGTTCGCCAAGCAAACACTGCTACAGGAACAAAGTGCACTTGTCATCCGTGCAAGCAACACAGCGGACCACATTCCTCCGCAATTTAAACATGGCAGCGCCAGCCTCCCCAAGTTGAGTCAGGTAAAGGATTTTTCACAAGTAAAACAGCAGAACTTACCTCAAAATCGCGGCAGGGGAATTTTAAACCTGATAAATGTTTCATTTTTTTTCTAAGATTATGAAACAGGACAATTAAGAATTCTCTTCTTCTTGGCCAGTCACCCTTTAAGATAATATTTCAACATGTACTCTCGGTTTTGCAAGGCTGTAATAAATCTTTTCCATTAAACATCGAGTTTGGTGTGACAATACTACGTAGAAGGTTTACTGCGTCGCTTCAAGCATTCAATGTCAGCAGTACGTAGGATGTAAGAATTAATAGAATTATTTAACAAACCGGTCACGTTTTGACAAAAAGTATAAATGAATGATACTTAATAGATATAACTTGGATTGTTTAAAACCTGCAGCGTTTTTTATTAGAATATTTATCTGAAGTCTGATACAAAATTCACTTCACGTAAATATTGTCACTATTTAATTTTCCAGCGTAAACCACGACGCGTTTGGCCTGTTGTATCTCCTTGCAATGTTCCTGTTCGGTCTAAAACCGATCTTTTGATCACATCTTACCTAAATTGACTTTCGTGCCATGAAGATATTTAAATTTTACTAGGAGGTAGGCTCATCTAATCAAACATTTGTCCGCTCATGCGGATATTAGTTGACATGTGTAGATAAATTACCTGAATAGCAGAGCCAACGTCAAATTGGCTCTTTCGTATTGGTTACAAATTATCACTAACAACAAAAAAAATAGTAAATTTTATTATGAATGTTAGAATTTCAACTCTAAGTAGATGACTGACAAATTGTCGCTAGGGAAACTAATCTCAAAATTACTTTTAAAAAACAAAGCTCACAATTTTCATGAACTTTCATGTCAAATTTCACACGATTCTCTCAGAGCACAACCGATCAGAAACCTTCAATTAGTTACATTACTCAAAATTTTACCAAAATCTTTAAAAACTGAGGGAAGTAAACGTTTTTAAAAAAATATAACTCAGTACTCACTGCAGTGAGTGACAGAGAGCGCATTTTCTCGTCGACGAAAACTTGAGGTCACGGACAGACAGACAGACGGACATGGCGAGCACAATAGTGCATTTTTTCCATAAATGAGAAAATGCGCTAAAAATTATTTGTTTCTAAGCGATTGCTGCTACATTGACCCTGAGGTCACCGCATTATTGACTACAGATAAGGTCGTTCCGAGGAGCGTGCGCCTGCCTCGGCTGCGCGGCCGGCAGCTACAGAGAGCTACTGAGCCACGTAGGAAGAAGCGATGAGATAATATAAATAACAGGGTCAGAGGATGGGCCAAGTAAGTTATGCAAAACCAAAACTAACGCCCCAAGACCTGACAACTAAAAACATGCCGCTGTATTTCTCGGAAATTTGGTTTCATAACTAAATTTTTACCAGACTAAACTTCTTAATACCCGTTTTTTTTATTATTTATACCCATTTTTTTCTTCCACATTCTCTTATCCCTAATACCCGACCCGTTTTTTCTTCCACAAATTTTTAGAGTGATCATCAACTGAATCAAACGGTATTACGAGTATTTTTCATAACACGAGTATTTTTCGTACAAGCTTGTTGAAAATCGGCATTATTTCACTCACATATTTCTCCCTTATTTATTCTGCGTTGACTTTGATGCTTGACATTTTTAATCTTGTTTAGATCCCGATAGCTTACATACATTCATAAAACTGAAATTTGACACACGAGCTTCGTGCCGAATTCTAAAGACCAATGCAATCTCCCTAGAATTTTAATCGATTCAAAATAATAAAATTATAATTCAAATTGACAATTGTGAAATTTCATTCGTTTCTAGCTTTTCCTTGCCCTGCGAAGTGCAATGCGAATTCATACTATAATATTTAACACAAAGTGTGAAAACAAATTATTCCAATATTAGGTTGCGTGTCAGCATTAATTCGCACCTCGACGCGTATTGCTTTGCTAACGATTTGCAAACCTTCGAGTGTGAAAAGCCTCCAAAATGGAAAAAAATATAACTCAGTACTCACTGCAGTGAGTGACAGAGAGCGCATTTTCTCGTCGACGAAAACTTGAGGTCACTGACAGACAGACAGACGGACGGACGGACGGACATGGCGAGCACAATGGTGCATTTTTTCCATAAATGAGAAAATGCGCTAAAAATGTTGCAACATCCACTGGGGGCGAAAACGCAGTAAACATGTGCCAGATATATTCTTCTCCCAACGTGCAAAACGTAAATGTTACTAATGATAGCTGGCAGTAATGTGGAAATGCTCAGGAATTTATTCACTGGTAAAAGACAATACACTCTAGTCTCCAATAGAAAAGATTAATTAAATAAATTATTTTCATGGAACTTTCCGAAAACTTACAAATCGTAAATACGATAGAATAGCTTTATCACGCTCACGTAAACACAGAATATTTCTCAGAACAACAAAACAACCATGACTTTGTACCGTGCTACAATGCTCCTTGAGAAAACTTAATATCATAAGTTTCAGTTAATACAACGAAGTTTTCTTGCACAGCTCCTGCATGCAGAATGACAGAATGAACTGCGAATGCGATGACTAATAGGGGAACGTACGCGTTACAAGATACGTACGAGCTACTTACAAGTTACGAGGTACGTTACGTACGTAACTAGAACGAGTTACGAACTTGTCCTCAATTTGTCACGCGGGAGCGAAGTATGCAGCCTCAGCCATAAAATCGAGGAACACGGGCAATAAAGACCCGCATTCAAGCGATGATTTTTCTGGGCGCCATTCCTGTTGAAGTATAGATATTAGATAAGGGAATCAAAATTTCCAGCATGGATGCAAATTATAACGATACATGGGAACAACCTAGTCACCAAATGCTCCTGAAACAATCTGTTGTTCATTCACACCGTGCCGACAAATTCGTACAGCCATGCAAGCAATTTTTAGCTGCAAGACGCTTATTCTGTGTATACCTTAGCCGACGCTGAGATGCTCAGATGCGCGCTCTCCAAACTCAAGAGCGACAGAAACGACAAACAAAGCATGAATTAGGGGCACCACAGAAACGGTGCCAATTTTGTGTCCCTGTCACACCGTGACTCCATGCCAAGTTATCTTAGTCCCCCTCCCTACCTCGCGGTTCTGTCAATGTGGACCTGTCAATGAAGAGCGATTGAATGCAGTGGTGGGAGGAAAGTCTGAGAATATTTGTAGGTACAATAAATAGTATGTATAGAGAAATATAGAAGGTCACATGTATCCAATAAATAATGTAAAAATCAAACATGATGCATCATCGTCAGCCCAGTCTTAAATCGGTCCAAAATGAAGAATTTTATACGAGCCACATGGTGTTGCACCCGCGACAAAAGTGAATTCTCGTCCCATCGTTTTGACCGAATTAAAAGTTCTTCAGATAAAATCCATCTCATACAAATCGTAGATATAATTTACTTTTCGTTCCAGGAACTGGTATCATATTGTAGTTTAAAGATTGTTTTACTACTCTGCATGAACTTGTCATGTGTTAAATTTGACACTCATTTGGACGGCGGTGGTGGAACAATCCAGTGTGATCCAGAAACATTGTAGTCAATCGACCACAATTAATTTAGACAATCAGGGCTCACAATAAACACAACTGCTTAAATTCCTCTTCCCGAGTAAAAAAGTAACGGAACCCAGATAACTCTGGAATCTTTTCACTCATGCTCAGGCTGCCACTTACGGAGTTCAATCGAGATTTTGGACTGAATACGTCACATTTCCATGCGCTTTATGAATGCTCAATAAACATATAAAATATAACATATATATTATAAATACATAATATAATAAGCATATAATTAACTTGTACATCAATGACACTATATAGCATCAGGCATGTAAGGTTTTATTTTAATTAAAAGTTACCAATGAGATCTAAATTGTAGAAAACTGGAAAATATAAATGAGTGGACACGAAAGGATTCAATTTTACGGTGCTTTTAGTCAAGGTTGTAGATACCATGCATGAAACGTAGAAGTTCTAACACATAACCTTGTCTACTCTACTTAATTGTCATCGAATGGAGAATACGGGTGTTGAATTCAGCGTAAGATTAAGAGAAGAAAGATTAAGAAAAGATATTTGATTAGATTCACAAAACACTCGAATCGCTATTGAACTTGGAAAGATTATAAAAGGTCGAAAAATTCAACTTCAAACTAACTACACCCGCACGGCCTCGCAAATAACAGCCAACTCTGCTCTGCTGGCA